ATGATCATCTGTACATGCTTTATGACTGCACTGGGTTTCTATGGCTATACTGGATTTGGAGACAAAATCGCGCCAACCATTACTACTAATGTGCCGAAAGATGGGTCAGCATTTGCACATTTTGCAGCTTTCATTTTGTCTTATCTGTTCAATCTGATTACGATTTAGACTGTACTCAACAATTAATATATTTCTTATGCTGCAATCGATGCTTGGACATTCGATTGCAATGTACGTAGTCTTCGACATGTTTTTCAATGGATTTCGAAGGAAGTTTTCTGCCAGGTTCCCCAATTGTCCCAAGTTTCTCGTTGATAAGGTGAATTATCTAGTTTCGTTATGATCGCGAGCGCGGCCTCTAATCAATTATATTCAAGGGATTTCGAGTATTCTGGGTTATGGTGACCTACTCGATGGCAGTTTTGATCCCGAAACTAGAGATTATGATACCATTAGTTGGAGTGACGAGCGGGACATTATGCGCCCTTGTCTATCCACCGATATTCGAAATGATCACATTCTGGACCGATTGGAAGGTATGTTGTACTTGTTGTTACAGTTTATATATTCACTAATAATTTTGATTTTGCAATTATTTTGCGATCATGAATCAGTTTCCCATGCTAAGTGTGTTGCTTTGCTTACAAAGATCTAGTTTTTATTTTTTCTTTGGATTTCGAGCATATTTCTTCCTAAATAATATGTTGCAGGGACTTCTGACCTACCGAGAACGCATGTGTAAGATAGCATTGAATTGTTTTGTCATCTGCGTTGGTTTCTTCGCTATCGCTGCGGGTTTGTACGCTAACGGCTTAGCCATTTACGAGTCATTCCACAATGATCTGTGATAATCTTATGTTCGGCATTTTTTATAGTTTTAATCATTTCTTTATGTTCAAAATTTCTCAAGAAATACCTTAATAATGTATAAGTCCTAGATTCTATTCAAGTCGTTGTTTATTTCTAGATTTTCATTTCCAAATCTCATTGTCAGTTTGCACTTTGATATACAAAATCTCGCTTAGAAGACACGTCTATCATTTATTAATTACTCATCGGCTCGGATTGTACAGTCTTTTAGCT